TATGGGTGGTGCATCTGGAAATGGCCCGAACGAACTAAAAATCTCATACGAGCATTTGTTCAACCAGAATGATTATTACTGCTTTGGCAATCTTGACCTTAGAAGTTCATGATAGTGTCTCTACGATTTAGGTAGAAATCATGCACAAAAGTAATCAGAATTATGGTGATACACAGAGACAGAGCATACATAGCAAACCAACCAAAGTATAACACAGGATTTCGGGGGGTTCTGCTCAAGTTTGACTGTTTTGCTATAAAGATTGTTGAGTTAATCTATTTGCTTTTGGTGTTGAATAGTCTTGTCTAGTTTCTGATGATGAGTTATGTTGTTCTATACATCGATATGGGTGCATAACTACATCTGCAACACATTTCATACATGGTTAGCAGTTGGGCACACCCTTCATGTATCTATAAAACTTCTAAACATATTCTATACTCGTCAGAGATATATGCAAGATCAAGAAAAATAAATCTAATATATGGTGATAATTTCACGATCCTATTTGGTTTATGGATATACTTGTACAGAAGATATATTATTATTTTGCTGATTTTGGGCTTATTTAACTTAAAAGTTATTTTGATTATTCTGTTTAATGGATACTGCAGTCTTACAAATCCATGCCGTAGATCAAGTGCACTGAACCACATGCATATGATAATGGCAGGTATACTATGAGACAGACCCATGATGATCCTTACCATGTCATCAAGAACTGGAACTACGACAGCCTTATTATGGTCGCCATGCACAACGAAGGAAAACACCGAGAACAGATTACAAATGGCATGATCAAGAAATAGATCGAAATATGTTACTTTGAGAATGATGTCTTTAAGTGAATCTAAATGTACTGCTATATATGGATGAAGAAATGTACTGCTTTTGCTTCATTGAGTTATTATTCACCGGGTACCCGGTGAACAGCTATTTTTGTTCAACAGAGGGTTCATCATTCTAAGTGTAATTTCTTTATGTCAGACTGTGGTGTGCTTTGAACTATGGAAAACTAAGACGAATTCCGCGTGAGGCTAATTCTGTGTACCTTATTATGAGAAATCCTTACGGTTCAATTAGAGCCATTTCGTGAACGCATTAACATTTTACGTTGATTGTGCCGATTGTATTGATATTATATACTGATTTAAAGTGGAAGTCAGAATATATATCATGTTCTGCATTGGCCTTCCTCTATAGGATTTTTTTTCCCTTAAATATTTCCTAATCTGCTTAGTTATAAGTATAATATACTATTTAACTCACCTTCCTTCTCTTCAAGTTCTGACACTATTATCCTCTTTCTTCAAGCTGCAATTAATTAACAAAGTTTCATCATTTTGTTTCCTTCTACCTTTATGTAGCTTTTTTAATAAATGAGGTAGACAACGCCTGCTTAACTCCCAGACTATAATTGTTACCTATCTTCTTTCGCTTCTACCATTAACTTAATTTTTCACATTTATACAGTCTCCCACTTGAATTAAATCAAGTTTCGTGGCTAATTAGAAAAAAATAAAAAACCCTTACCCACATATAACTATGCTCATTTAATTGACACTATAAATAGACTTACATTAAATAGAGATCGATGATTACACTTCCATAATTACGAGAAATTGTTTTCGAATTTCCTTCTGATTCTCTTAACTTTCTTATTTATATCTTCTTCCGCCACTTGAACTATATTAAAGTTTCTCATATTAAGTACTAACCCAATAAATAAAGTTAAATAAATAGAGATTGATGATCGATCGAAACACTTGCATGATCACACATCTGAAGAGTGAAAATCAAGATGGACGGCTGAGATCAAAATCAGACTCCTGGTTGGGGGTTACGCCTACAAGCTGCGGGGTACGTAGCGTTGGTAGTTAACGAATCGTTCAATGAACACGGATTTTGTGAAACGGTTCCCAAGAAAATCTAAAGGCCAAAGCAGTTTAATTGACCTGTTATCTCAAACTTGTAACTTAATCCGTTATTAAATACGGTAACCCCCCCTCTAATTACTCCTATATATAAACAAATAACACCCAGAACTCAAAACAACAACACTTAGCAAACAAATTGAGATGGAAGGAGGAGGAGAAAATGAGGAGAAGGTCAAGGGGGCTTGGAACCCTGAAGAGGACGCTGCGCTGGTGAAGCTTGTGGAGCTCCACGGGGCGAAGAACTGGACCGCGATAAGCGCGGGGATCCCAGGGCGGTCGGGGAAGTCATGCAGGCTGCGGTGGTGCAACCAGCTGAGCCCCACCGTGCAGCACAGGCCGTTCACGCCCGCGGAGGATGCCGCGATCATCGCCGCGCACGCTCGGTATGGAAATAAATGGGCGACCATCGCCAGGATGCTACAGGGAAGAACGGATAACGCGGTCAAGAACCACTGGAACTCGACGCTGAGGAGACGAAAATCGCAGGGGGACGCAGATGATCGTGAGGGGGAGGCGAAGAGGGTTTGTAGGAGGGAGGAAGATCATGAGAAGTTGGTGACGTCGTTGTCGCTGAGGATGCCGGGGGATGATAAGGAAGAAGGAGGAGAAGGGAAGGAGGAGGAGGGTACTGGGGGGTTGAGGGAGATAATGAGAGGGATGATAGAGGAGGAGGTGAGGAGATACATGAGCAGGTTAGGGTTTGGGGACAGGGGTAGTTCCGAGAGTCTCAAAGCCGAGTCTACTGCTAATTCTTAAATTTTATTTTTTGTTGAGTCTTTTTTGTTGAAATAATTAATGTGTTGTATGATACTGTTAATATGATAAGAGTATTTTTGGGGGGGTTTATTCTGAGTTTTTAATTTTCGAAGGAATTAATTTTGTGGGGATGAGGTGAATCTCTTATTATTATATATTGTTATTTTTTTGAAAACTTAATTTGATGAGTTAAGTTTGCGTGTAATTAATGAGGGGTGTGAGGTTGTAAAACTTTGAGTCTGTGCTTAATACTTTTTTTGCAGGTTGTTAAAGTTTTTTTTTTTTTTTTTTTGGGGTGGGGTGTGTGTGTGTGTTGAATTACAAAAAGTACCGTGAAGTTTTGGGCCCCCTAATCAACTTTGTTATCAGGGGTTTAAGCTTCGCAGGACTTGAAGCCACGTGAACACAGTTTTAGCCAGTTGGCTGAAATTGGGTCGAATTGGATAAATAATTTTGAAATATGTTGTTTTTGGCAATTAAGTTTCTAAACAGATCATTTTTGAAAATTACTATAATTTAAATAGAATAATTGATGATATTGCTCTTTATTAAAATATAATATCTATAATAATCATAACATACTAATTAAAAAATATTATTAAATAATATAATATAATATATTAATTTTATTTATATTATCATACTTTAATATATAGTAGTTTATTATAATTTTTAGTGTAGTAATAAAATATTATTTAATATTATAACTACCATAATATTGACAATATATTTAAATATTATTAACCAATATGTAATAATAATATATAATAATGTTATATTAGATAATATTATATAATATTTTATTATCTTACATTATAATAAAATTTTATAATATATTATAATTAAGATATATTATATATTATAATACAATTAATATATATTAGATATTTAATAAACTAGTGCTTCAAAATTATCCTACTTTCCTCATGATTGTCCCAAAGTTAAGAATGAGGTAATTTTTGGAGGTTGGGACAAAAAGTTTGTATAGAAGTGGGATAATTTTGGGAAAAGTAGGGCTAATTGTCTCAATCTCATTGTCCCAATGAATAACACATTAAAGTAAAATCTCAATTAAATTGTCTCAATGAATAACACCATAAAGTAAAGTCCCCAAAATTATCCCATTTACCCTAAAATTACACCAACCAATGACCCCCCCTAAATAATATTGTCTTCACCATTTTGTCTCTGAATGAACTGTATAAGCTACTCCAGAAATCAAAAGGTTACAGTTTTAAAGTGCATAAATATATTTTAAATACTGGAGAAAATTTCTCACCAAGAATTCCTTGCCGGACTTATTTATTTGTGAGAATAAGGAACAGAAAGAAACAGATATTTAGATAAATTAGTTTAGTTAGAAAAGGACAAGCTTTGAGTATTTTTCATCCACAAAGATAATATAAAAATACTTAAGCATACAAAAATTTACGAGATAATCTCTATACAATATTGAAATTTTCATTTGAGAAGGTTTCTTTTATGCTCCCAAATTTGATTTTATCATAATTCTTATTGGAAAATTGAAAAAGTAAACAAAAAATAAGAAGGGTACGTGTTTTAATCATTCCACCTTAATATCCAATACACATTTAATACTTCTCCTATCTATTTTCTATCTGGAATAAATGTTTTTCTTATTCTTCATAAGGATCCATTACATATTTTTAGGGAAAATAACTAAGTAGAGAGAAAAACTAGGATATGCAAGGGCAAAAAATTACGGGTCTTCAAATAAAAAAATTATTGGGAAAAGTATGTGAATGTTTTTTTTTAAAGAATTCTAATATCTTTTTAACATTATCCTTACTTATCTTTAAAGGCCCGGTTGACCTTTAATTTTATTTAAAATTCTATCCATATATATAGAATCTATCAAAAAAAAAAAAATCTATCGAAGGAACAAAACTAACTTTTTAATCCTCAAATTAAAACATGGGATTAGAGGAAAGAGATTGGGTGAAACTGGCAATTATAGTTTCAAGTTCAATTTATTTTTCCCTCCAGTTTTGCTCTATACCATGTAAGATGTTTCATCATGTACTAAGATTGAAAATAAAATCAAGATACACCTTTAAATAAGGGTGTATTTGGTGCGGTTACAGCTCGGATATGATACTTATCATATTCATATCCGCTTACCCATCTCGGATACGGATACGGATATACCTCAGTAATAAAAATTCATATTCATATCCGCTAAAATCGGATACGGTTACGGATATATGCATGCGGATACAAAACGGATATGAGAAAACTAGATAATATTAAAAAAAATATAATTCATATGATACAAAAAATTCTTTAATACGTTCATATAACTGAAAAGCTAAGGTTAGATATCTTGATCATCAAAATTAACTACAAATCCATAATGTAAGAATTAAGAGCATGACTAATATGTATTCGGATATTTTGAATACGGATCCGGATATTTTACTATAAAACCATATCTGTAACCATATCTTATCGGTTATAGATTTAAGTATACGGATATTTCCTCAGTTACGAATACGGTTTAGCAACCCCTACCCTTAAAACAACAAAAAACGCATGCTCCAGCTTTTTATTACTGTTAATATATTAGTGTTGATTAGTAACAAGAATACCGTGAAGAAGCCCTCCTTAACGATCCCTTTCTATAATTATTTACTAATACACCACATTATAGTTATTTAGTTTCAACCACCTTAATTAACCTCAACCTGACATTAACAACGTAACTTCAAGTACTTCCACCCTCAATCCCCAACAACTTAAAACTTCCTTCCCTAGTCTTGTATATAAATAACCAAAACCTCTAGATCAAATATTATTCTCTCTTCTCTACCTATTTTCTCATAATGTCCAAATTCTTTAATGATTTCGAACAAGTATTTCATCACGTTGACAAGGATGGAGATGACAAGATTTCATTAGCCGAGTTGCAACTATGCTTGAAATCCATCAGTATGGATTTATCCGATGAAGAGATCAAGGATTCGATCAAATTCGATGAAGACGGCCTATTAGGGTTTGAAGAGCTGGCCAAATTTGTGGAAGGAGATGAAGAGAATAATGTTGAGGTGTTGAGAGAAGCTTTTCGGATGTTTGAGATGGAAGGCAAAGGATACATCACTGCAGATAGTCTCAAGATAGTACTTAGCAAGTTTGGCTCAGAGAAAGATACAGAAGAGTGCAGGGCTATGATATGCAAGTTTGATCTCGACGGAGATGGAGTTCTTAGCTTTGATGAGTTTAAGAATATGATGACATAAGATGATATTGTTATGGATGTAGATCGCTCTTTCCTATATATATATATATATATACATTACTTGCTTGGTTTAGTTTCTCGTGCATGCCGTGGACATATGTTTACCTACAATTTGATTGATGGGTAATAGTATACAATGTTACCATCTTAACAATTTTAATTTCTTCAAGATCTTTTCAATAAAGATAGACGATGTATGAGAAATATGTAGTTAGTTTGTTGAGTACCGACACTGTTAGATTAAATCTATTGGGTATTGAGTTAATGAGCTGTGACCCGTTAACCATATCCCTATTTGTATGACTATATATATATATATATATATATTTATATTATTATCTATATATATATATATAACTATCTGAATAAATAGATAATTAGGTTGTTTGCTCTCTATTATCTCTTTCTGCATGCTATCAGAGCAAGAAACCCTAACCCTAATCCAACGCCGCTGCCGTTTCTCCTCCCATGGCCTCGGATTGGTGATTCGAGGCCACATATGACCCGGTCCGGTCATCTACTGCCGCCTACCTATTGCTCTGCCTTTATGTTTTTTTCAGATCTGGTATGTGTCCGACTGAAATATCATCATCTTGCTACTAATCTGCTCTTAGTTTATATTTAAAGAACATATCTCTACTACTGCCCTGGCTATTTGACTACTACATGTCTACTATTATTGTGCAAAAATGACTACTACTACAATGTCGGAAATCTCCTCCTCTACTCCTCCCTCTGCTGCTGCTGGTGAGACTTCTGTGCCCAAGGTAGTCTTGAGGACTACAATAAAATTGAATGGTACAAACTATCTGCTCTGGGCACATGCTTTCTACATCTTCGTTGGTGCTCAGAGCAAACTCTCGCATCTTCTGGCCTCTCCACCCCCCACCACAGATCCCACCTACAGTTGCTGGCTCTCGTTTGATTATTGTGTTATGATTTAGCTTCTCAACACTATGGAAGCACAGATCAGTAGCAGTGTTATATTCTTAACCACTACGTAGGAGATGTGGGATAACCTGAAGATTATGTATGGGAATGAGAAGAATGCTTCCCATGTATTTGAGATCTATGAGCGATTGTTTGCGCTCAAATAGGGGGATATGTCAGTTCCTGAGTTCTTTGGTGAGTTGAAGGGACTGATAGACGAACTGGAGATGCATCAGCTTGCAGTGTCCAAGTTTCTTTCTGGATTGCACCCTACCTTACAGCCCCAGGTGAGAGGACATATATTAGGTGGAGATATCATCCCCTCACTGACTGCTACATTCTCCAGAGTCATGCAGGTCTCTACTGGTGTTACTTCTGATACTACTGCACCATCTCCACCTTCAGTGGATCAGTCCGTCATGTTCTCTAGTCGAGGCAGAGGACGCGGTCATGGTCGTGACCGTGATTCAGGGGGAGGACGTGACTCCTCTGGTGGGAGACATGGTGATTCTGATAGGGGCCCACGTCAGTGTGGTCACTGTGGGAGGACCAATCATGTTTCTGAGAAGTGTTGAGAGACGTTTGGTCATCCTCAATGGGCCCAGGTGGCTGACGCCGAGTCGACTCGCTCGTCTAGCTCTGCTACTAATTTGGGTGGTCCAGTTGTTACTGCTCCTACTATTCAGATTTCTCAGGCAGATTATGAGAGGTTACGCCAGCTAGAGCTCTCTCAGAACAGTCATTCTGCTACTCATGCATCATCTTCAGGTATGGATGCTTACATAGCTTCTCCTCACAAACACTGGGTACTAGATTCTGGAGCCTCATCCCATATGACAGGTACAAATGATCACTTTGTATCTTTACATCTTTCTGATAAGTTTCCCTCTATCTGCATTACTAATGGTACACTTTCTCCAGTTCGTGGTGATGGAGTAGTTCATGCTACTTCCTCTTTGAAACTAACTGATGTGTTATATGTTCCTAAATTCCATGTTAGCTTATTATCCATTAGCAAACTTACAAAGCATAATAACTGTAAAGTCACCTTCTTTCCCTCTTATTGTGTTTTTTAGGACCTAGCAACTAGGATGACGATTGGTTCGGGGCATGAGAGAGGAGGTATATACTATTTGGATGATAGTGTGCCAGATGCTGGTCTTGTTGCATCACAGCCTGACTCTACCTTACTGTGGCACTAGTGTCTGGGTCATCCTTCAATGCAGAAGCTTAGATCGGTAGTTTCCGTTCAGTCTTCTGTTTCTTCTTTAGGTTCAGTTGTGTGAACTGATAAGCACCATCGTGCTACTTTTTAGAGTCGTGTCGATAAATGCAGTATATTTGCATTTGAGTTAGTTCATTCTGATGTTTGGGGTCCTTATCGTGTTCCCTCTGTGAAGGGTTTTCGATATTTTATTGTTTTTGTTGATGATTTCTCTCGCATGACTTGGCTGTATTTGTTAAAAGAAAATTCTGAGGTCTCGCATGTTATTGAACTTTTTTATAATAAAATAAAAAACCAGTTCTCTACTTCTGATCATATTCTTCGTACTGATAATACTTTGGAATATATGAAAAATGGCGTTTCAAAATTTTGTGCACTCAATGGTATTATTCATCAGACTTCATGCTCTCACACTTCACAACAAAATGGAGTTGCTGAGAGGAAGCATAGACATGTTCTAGATTTTGCTAGAACACTGATGATACATATGAATACTCCAAAGTATTTGTGGTTTGATGTTGTTCTCACTGCCTGTAATTTGATTAATCGCATGCCTTCCTATGTTCTTGATGGTTTAATACTATTCAATTATCTTTATCCTGCTAAAAAATAATTTTCTGTGATTCCTTGCTGTAGGCGTTAGAAAAATGCTTACAGACATACAAGTACCACTCGAAACAATATGGAGGAACAATATACACATCGTCAGGCAACACAACGCAGCGCGGCAGGACAAGGTGCCGCGGCTAAGGCGCGGCAGTCCAGGGTGCCGCGGCCAAGGCGCGGCAGCCAATGGTGCCGCGGCCAAGGCGCGGCAGTCCAAGGTGCCGCGGCTAAGGCGCGGCACCGTTTCAACTGTGGTGCACTGAGACCCCTATAAATACCTCCCTAAACACGAAGTAAAGGAGAGAGGATTTTTGGAGCAGAAGAGGCTTGAGTCTTTGGTGATTTTGAGAAAGAAAGAGAGAATTTTCACCCTTTGACAAGCATCATTTGGTGAATCCTAGAGATCTAAGCTCAGACTTGATCTTTGGAAGAACGAACATCTTACATCGATAAGATATTCGTTTTCAAATCTTTACTTCGATAAACGAAGGAGAGATCCCTAAACAACCTCACGATCTACGAATCGGTGGTCCACGAGCTAAAGCGTTCCCGGCACAGGCAAAGTCCCACAAAAGCAGGAGTTGATAAACAATTTCTGTGTTATTTTCTCGAGAGTTGTATTTTCTTTTATTTTCATTGTAATTTCTTGTAAACACATCAAAGTTTAATGGAATCTGCAATGGAAACGACTTTCGCTGAAAACAAACTGGCGACCACAGTGGGAGCCAGCGGCCTCGCTGCCGAGGCCGCAGTGTCGCAGCCGATTAAGATCATCGTCACCGAAGAGATCGAATATGAGTTCGATCAAGCCAAATTTGAGGAGTACCTGTCATCCTCATCTTCAAAATCTCCCTCGCCCCGCAAGTGTAGGAAGATTTCCTCTCCTAAGAGAGTTTCTAAGTCTTCAATTCCGATGAAGACCACAGGCGAAGATTCTTGCCAAGTTCTCTCCAAGGAATCTGCCTGTAACATTTCTGCTCCGAGTGACCCCGCACCAGTTAAGGAGTCACTGAATCAAAATGAACCAGCATTGACGAAGAGAGCCCGTCAAAGACAGCGTCAACGCCGCGCTCGTCAATTGGCAAAGGCTTTACAGCAAACCGACGGGGTCCATTATTATACGGACCTAAAGTCGAGGAATCAAAAGATGGTTCAGTTGCCTCAAAGGCAAAATAATCACATCTCTGCACAACTTACGACGGAGGAATGGACTCTGGTCAAAAGAGCCCGTTCTACCCTGAAAGAGCGCATACAAAGGCGCCAAGCAAAGGCGGCTCGTGTTCGTGCCCTTCGTCAACAAGCGCAGAGGAACAAGAAAGAAATGGTGCCTGAAAAGCCATCAAAGAACGGCAAAATTTGGGTTCCAAAGATTGAAAACACCCAACAATCTCAAAAGGGTGCAAACTCTGGCCGCGGCAGCTCAGACTGTCGCGGTAACTTATTCGACCGCGGCAGTCATAACTGCCGCGGCACTTTGCTCAACCGCGACAGTAAGGGTCGCCGCGGTACTTCGTTTGGTCGCGATGTTCATCACTGTCGCAAGACCACATCTGCAGTTGATCCTGGCCCTTCTACTATAGCATCTCCAGTGGAACCCTGGGTTAGCCCAGATTTGTCTAAATTCAAGATCACTATGGCAGATCGCCTCGGTCCTTTGGTTGACGATCGAGGCAAAGCCCCAGTCAAAGAAGAACCAAGTCCAGCAAACAAACCCTTAGTGGTTTCATATAAAGGGGGTCGTAAACACCCACCTGTCAGAATTGCACAAGTCCAAAACGAGAGAATACCAGTTCACTCTCGTTTAGGACCTCTGAAAACTCCACACCCGCAAGGGGGTGGATTTAAAAATTCAACTTTGGATCGCCCAGAAGCGACGACTAGTCGTTCTGTGCTTGTTAACAAAGTTCAGAGGCAAAAGATAGGTTGCTCGAATCACAATAATGACGAGCTGTACTATCAGAAGAAGAACTCAAGAAAAAGGATTGTCCGAGAGAATGAGTCCCATTGTGCATGTGAGAGACTCATTAAGGCAGTGCTGACGGAATGCGGATGCTCCAAGACTGATTCAACAAGAGTCTCTGTATTCCAAAGACTTTCCAATGAAGCGTCAAGACCCAAGATAAGGCGTTTCAACAAGAAGAAACCGGCAATCCGACAAGATGAGTTCCCTGAGGTCACTATCAACATGACCAATAAAGGAAAGCAAAAGTCAGTTAACTACGACCCTGATTTCTCTCCGGGAGGGAGAGTTGAGCGGGGTCTTTCTCAAAGGATGGCGCGATTACAAAGAAGAGCCAACCTACGACAAGACTACAGGAAAAT